AGTGGATTTGGACAGTGTCTATGGAGGGTGGGAAGTCAAGGGCAAATGGCAGGGGTGCATTCTGGGTCCCGAGGGAGGAGAAATGGGAGCAGTGGAGGTGAGGGAAGAAAGAAGAGTAGGAAGTGATGGGATTGGCTGTGTTGTTCTGTGGGCAAGGGCTTGATTAAAAGGTAAGAGAAAAGTAGGATGGGACAAGGCTAAGGAATAATGATCATAAAAGGAAGGTGATGGCTAGAGCAGTGAAAGGACCTGATGAGTGGCAGCAGATGGTTTCAGAAAGAACACAGTATGATGAGGGGATGGAAAGAGTGTGAGCAGTGACAGCAAGTCATAGGAGGGAGCACAACCCTGTGTAGATAAATGACAGGCATTAGGGAGCTTTGAGATCCGTAAGCCCTAGAAAAGAGGCAGGTGCCTTCCTTGGGCCAATGTGGGAAAGCGAAGAAATGGATGGTATAGTCACATGAAGGAATGTCCAAATGGCTTTGATGTAGCAACATGGGAGGGTCAATTCCAGAGAAAGACAAGGTGATGGGAGGTACCCAAGAAAAGATGGAGAGTAGAGTGTAGTGGAAGGGAGACAGGCTGGACACCAACAAGGGGAGCGAAGAGAAGAGGGATATGGCAGAGGAGGCATCCTGAGATTCAGAGGTGCCAACCAGAAGGAAGTTCAGAACTTTGAGGCCAGCCAGTGCAAGCAGTGGCATAGGGAAGGAGGAGCAGAAAAAGGGTGGCTAGCAAGGGCAGTGAACAGTGGATGGACCTGCAGCTCTGAATGCTGTAGCAAGGACAGAACCTTCTGGCCAGGCTCTTTACTATGGATCTGGTGGGGATGGGGTGGGAGGAGGTGATGGGTGAGGAAAGGGTCCATCCAGATTTGGATATAGGTCTGGTTTGATGGGAGGGCAGGGCAGGGATTGATAAGTTTTGGGGTGGGGATGGGAAACATGAGCCAAACTCCAGGCTCAGAGAAACCATCTTCTTTTACTGAGCTTGTAGACTGATTCCAAGTTGTGTTGGGGGTGATGACTAAAGGTTACAGAGAGTGTGGGGGAGTCCACCAGAGAGGACACAGGAAAGTGGTTGCAGGGAGCCGGGGAGGGAAACAAAGGGATGTGAGGACCACAGGGAGAAAACTCTGCAGGAGGACAGAGTCATGGACCTGAAAAAAAGGAGGGGTAACTTAGGGAAAGTACTGAGAAGGACCAGATTTGGATCAAAGATATTGTCACAATTTAAGTCATAAAGGAGTGGGGCAGGAGGAGTATCAGGATGTGTGTGTGTGTGTGTGTGTGTGTGTGTGTGTGTGTAAAGAGCAATGTTCTAATGCAGACCCTAGGTTTGGGGCATGTTGGGTATCAAAGAGTAAATACAAAAGGGAATGTGATGGTTCTATGAGGACAGTGCCAGGACAATGTGAGAGTGGGGGCCAATGCAGCGAATTTGAGGAAAAAATGTCAGTGGCAACTGATGGAAGGGTAAGAGGCACGAAGAGAGAATGCTCATTCAGGGGGTCAGGTTGGGCTTCCACAGCAGTGATTCTTCCTGGGGGGAAAGAGGGTGAATTTTACCTGAGGGGGGCAGTGGGCATGACCCCCAAGAGAGGCTTATCACACCATCTGAGGAGGGAGCAGTGCTCTGCTCAATACTACAAAACCAACAAAATTCAAAAAGAAAACACAAAAACACACCCTAGAGATGTTGCTGATAGGCCGCCTTGGGGGTCATGCACCCCTCGGTAAGAATTACTGGGTGGAAGGGGAAGAGAGGAGAGCTGGGCAGAGAGGTGAAGCATGAGCAGATGAGCGCCTGAGTGGGGGAGGGGGCGGTATCAGAGTTAAGAATGTCAGAATGGGGACAAAGGACCCTGGACCAAGCAGACAGCGAACAAATGGATGTAGCCCAAATGGATGTAGCCGTGAAGGCAGCTGGGGGGTGGGTTGGGATTAGGGATTGGAGCACCAACATGATGTTCCAAGGATACTTGAGGAGCAGGGCTGAGTCACTTGGTAGTGGCTAGTGAATGGAATTGGGGATGTGTGGATGTGAGCAGAGAGCAGGGATGTCCACCTAAAGGCAAGGTGAGGCAGGACAGGAGATACTGAAGGAGAGCATCTGGGAGAGAGATGACTTCTGGGAAAGGAAGGAGAGAAAGAAGAGCAGTACAAAGGGCTCTATGCAATTCGAGACCGCGTGCCTTGGTGTCAGGTGTGGGGTTGGTAGGTGCTGAAACAAGAGGGAGGATTGAAGGCAAAAGTCTTGTGGTGACAAGAAAAAGGTAGGAGAGTCAGAGGAGGCTTCCAAGAGCTGTGTCCAAAGAGTGTGCAACAAAGTGGTCTGAATGGAAACATGAAATGTTAATGGGGAGTGACATTTGTGGGTCCCAGGAGGAAACCACAACTGTTCCACAGGGTATGAGCTGGGGTTGGTGCATGGAGCGTGGGGATTCAGTACAGTATGTCTGAAGCAATGACGACTGAATTGGAATGAGTAGTGGGTGGGGGATCAAGAAGGGAGCACACAGCAGAGCAGACTACTGAATCCAGCCAGAGGACTCACAGACAGTAGCTGAAAGAATGTCACATGGCCCAGGTAAGACAGGGCCTTGGCCATGTATGCAGCACAGAAGCAAAGTAGGAGAGGCTCTGAACCCAGGTGTTCTCTTTGAACACTAGGAGAGTGTGTTAAGGGGTATGTGGTCCAATGGGCCAGAACAGTGAGAATGGGCAGGTGGTGCTGCCTCTCAGCGCAGGAGAGGCTTGGTGAGAGGATCCTGTGCTAGAAGGGATGGCTAAGAACAGGAAAGAGGGAGTGGATGTGGAGAAAGCAGATACTTTGCCTCAGGGACTTTGAGCGAGACTCCTGTGGATGGACAATACTGCTGTTTAGCAGATATGCATAAAAATGGTGGCGGAGCTAATGGAAACGAAGGCAGGGTGGCATTTCGCAGTGAGCACCTGATGCATGCATCTACTGTACCAGGGGCAATAATGTGTGGAGGTCTACTTGCAGCTGAAAGAATCCACATAGAAGTAGGGAAGAATGTGGGAACTTTAAAAGCTGTGGGATGTTATAGGTCCAGTCTGAGAAGATAATGTGGACAGTAAAGAGACACAGAGGGACAGAGCAAGGGATTGGACGGCAGGGGTTGGGGACAGGCTCTTGTTGGAAGCTGAATCCAGTGGACAACAAAGGGGGCAAGTAGGAATGTGATGGAGAACAAGGGAAGGGTCTAAACTGTGATCTTGTGAGGGGATCGTGGCCAAGAGGGCAAGGGGGGGCGGCGCGGGGTTTCGGTAAGTGTCCACAGAGAATGGAGGTCAAGGGTGATGGCGAGGGATGCATAAGGGGCCTAAGGGGGGAGAAATGGAAGCAATGGAGGCGAGGGAAGGAAGAGGAGGAGGGTGTGGCAGTACTGACTGTAAAGTTCTCTGGGCAAGGGAAGAGGAAGAAAAGTGAGACAGGGTAAGGCTAGAGAAAAGGGAGCCTAAAGGGAAGACAGTGCCTGGACCAGTGAAAGGACCTAATGGGTGACAGCAGATGGTTTCAGGAGAGAGTGTGGCCTGTGGGGGATGGAAAGAGAGTGAGTGGTGAGAACTAGTCAGAGGAGGGAGCACACCCCTGTGAAGGGAAGACACAATATGACTAAATGATAAGTACTACAGGCCTTGGAGATGCATAGGCCCTAGAGAAGAGAAGGCGTTTTCCATAGACCCAGTAGGAAAAGGGAACTATGTTGTGTGAGGAACAGTAGCAGGAAGGGATGTCCAATGAGGCCTTCATGCTGCACTAGTGAAGGGTCACCTCCCAGATACAGACAAAGTGATAGGAGGCGTCCAGGAGAGATGGAGAGTGAAACCAAGTTGAAGGGAGACAGTTTGGACACCAACAGGGGGATCAAGGAGAAAAGGGAAGTGGCAGAATAGGCACCCTGGAAGATCTCAGATGAGCCAACCAGAAGGAAGTTCAGAATTTCGGTGTGAGCCAGCATGAACACCAGTATGGGGAAGAGGAGGAGTGGAAAAGGGGTGGCTAGCAATGAGTGCACAAAAGCAGCTGCTCTTGTGACCTTGATGTTGTGGCAAGGGGAGAACTTTTCCGCCAGGCTCTTTAATAATACGGATCCGCAGGGGTAGGGTGGGGTGGGGGTGGGACTCTGGGTTAGGGTGGGAGGCAGGGATGGGGGGGTGTGGGAGAGGTGGGGTGGGAGCTACATTGAGGAGCAGGACAGGGTTGGGTTGGGTTTAATGGGGTTAAATGGGAGGGCAGAGTAGGGATCAGTGGGGATTGGGGTAGGTGGGAAATATGAGCCAAACTACAGGCTCTGAGGAAACTGTCTTTAATGAGTTTGTGGACTGATTCCATGTCAAGTGGTGGGGGTGATTACTATGGGTTGAGGAAAGGGTGGAGAAGACCAGAGAATCCACACAGGGGGGGCACAGGAGAGTTACTCCAAATTGGGGAGGGAAGGTCTGGTTGGCAGGAAACACAGAGGGGTTTGAGGACCACTGGGGCCAAGAATGACAAGATTTGGACCCAAGATATTGTCACAATTCCTAAAAGTTATCAAGAGTGTAGGGCATGAGGGCTATTAGAAAAGAGGGGTGAAAAAAATGTTGTGATGCAGACTGGGGTTTGGGGTATGCAGGGTATGAAAGAATAAATATGGAAGGGAATGTGGTGTTACCAATAGGATAGTGTCAGAAGAATGCAAGAGTGGGATTGAACGCTGGGATCCTTTAGGAGCAAATATCAACAGTCAAGTATGAAACGTGAGAGGCCCAAGGGTGAGTGCAGCCCAGGAGTCAGGTTGGGTTTCCACAGCAGTGATTCTTCCCGGGGAAAAGGGGGTGAGTTTCACTCAAGGGGGGGCATGACCCCCAAGGTAGGCCTATCACACCATCTGAAGGGGGAGCAATGCTCTGCTCAAAACAACAAAAAACCAAAACAAAACAAAAAGTCCCAACAGAAAACACAAAAACACACCCCAAAGATGTTGCTGATAGGCCTCCTTGGGGGTCATGCACCCTCGGGTGAGAATCACTGGGTGGAAGGGGCAGAGAGGAGAGCTGGGCAGAGAGGCGAAGCATGAGCAGATGAGCGCCTGAGTGGGGGAGGTGGAGGCATCAGAGTTAAGAATGTCAGAATGGGGTTAAAGGACCCTGGACAAGGCAGACAATGAGCAAATGGATGTAGCCGAGAAATCACCTGGAAGGATACAGGGAGGGTGTTGGTATTCACCTTGAGTGAGTAGGGAGTGGAGCACCAAGGTGGTCTTGGAACTGAGGCCTCTTGAGGAGGAGGGCTGAGGGAGAGGGAGTTATGAACAGGGAAAGTTGAGTTGGGCTGATAATGAGCAGAGAGCACCTGACAGGCTGTAGAGCACAAAGAAGGCCCAGCTGGGACTGGAGACCACACTGAAGATCATCTAGGGGAGAGAGACGAAGGCTGCCAGAGGAAGGAGAGAAGGAGTGGTGGACAGCAGTACTTAGGCCTCTGTGCAGGTCGAGATTGAGGGCCATGGTGTGCAGTGTGGGTTAGCAGGTGGGGGTGGGGATGGGGGAAAGAGGGAGGGCTGAAGGTAAAAGTCCTAGAGTGATAAGGAAGAGATAAGGGAATCAGAGGATGAAGCTCCCCAAGGGCTGTGTGTCCCAAGAGTATACAACAAAGGGTCTCAATGGAAACAGGAAAGGTTACGGGGAAAGAGGTTTGTGAGTCCCTGGAGGAAATCACAGTCCAGGTTCACAGGCTGTGAGTAGAGGGCGTGGGCAAGCGGGCAGATGCAGGAGAGTACATGAAGGCCAAGGGGACGGCAGTGGGGGGTGAAGAAGGTGAGGAATGAGGTAAGGAGCACACAGTGCACCACGGGCATCAGCCAGGAGGTGTACAGTCTGTGGCTGCAGAAATGTCACCTTGCTCAGGAAGGACAGTTCTTGCTACGTATGCAGTAGAGAAGCAAAGCAGGAAAGATGATGAACCCAGGCCCAAGAGGTAGGACATCAGGTGAGCACATTCGGACTGTGGGAGAGTGTAGTAGAGGGGGGCCGTGTTCAAAGGAGACAAAACAGTGAGAAAGGGCAGGATATGGCACTTTGCAGCTAGGGCAGAATAGGCTTGACTTCTCAGGAAATGGGGCACACTATACTAAGAGAGGGATTATAAAGTGCCTGAAGGAGGGAGAGAAAGTGGGGAACCCAGAAACTCTGCTCCCATGAGTGGACCAAGGGTATGAAGAAGCCCATGCAGGAGAAAGAGGACATTGTGAGGAGGCCCACTGAAACCATTAGGGACCACCCTGTAAGTCAGGGGATGGTGAAATGTAGAAGCTAAGATAGGAGTTTAGATAGGTAAGGACCTTATCCAAAATGGTGGAATGGAAAAGGTAGAATGCTTGGGGTGAATTGAGATAGAAGATGGATTCTGTATAGCACTTTGCGACAGGAATAATATTAGGGCAGGTCAGAGGGAGCCAATATCAAGGAAAAAACATGAATCCATCCCAGGTTAAGCAGGTTGTGGGGAAAGTAGGATGGAAAATTGAAGATAAAGCTGAGGAGTTTATTGAAGATGATAGTGAGAGATAAAGCAGAGGATGTGTAAAGCAAGATTCAGTCCAGACCTAGGAACAGAGACACAGTGGAGTCTTGGGAGCCATGAGAAGGAGATGAGCAGAGTGAGTTATCTTAGGGAAGAGAAAGGGGCGGGCATTTCAGAAGAGGGGAGAGAATCTTATGAATATGTAAGGCACTCAGGGTCATTAATGGGAGGCAGGAAATCGGAAGGCAGACTGAAGAACTGCCAATCTGGGGACATCTTCAGAACTCCAGGGGAAAGAAAAGCGGCATGTGTGGTATTGAGACCTGATATAGGACCAGAGCACAGCAGACTGAGACCACATAACTTGGGCATTTGAAGATCGAGGGTCATCAGGAGCAAGTGGGGAGGGGGCTACAATGGTAGTGGTGAGGAAATGGGGCACACTGCACAAACCATTGGCAGTTAATCTCAAGGATGTCTGGATAGACTCACATTGATGGAGTCTAGTGTGTGTGTAGCAAATATGCTTAGAAATGGAGGAGGAGCAGACAGGAATCAAGAAGGAGGTGACATTTCACAACCATCATGGAATCCATGCTGTGCTCTTCTAGGGAGGCTGGAAAGGAGAATTCTAGCATGTGTTGGAGAGATTCCACATAGGGAAGTAGAGAGGGATGGGGGACTTTCAAATCAGTGGGGTGTCAGAGGTCTAATCCAAGAATATGGGTAGCAATGAGGCATAGCAGGAGAGAGCAAGGGGTGGGATGGGGGCTTGGGATGGGGCTCTTGTTAAAGAGGTTGAGGGACAACAGAGGGGGAAATGCAGTATGAGATGGAGAGTGAGAGTAAGGTTTAAAATCTGCACATGGGTGTTGTAAGGAGAATGTGACCTAGAGGGTAAGAGGGCCAAGGGAGGATCCAAACCTTGTCCAAGGGTAGCGGGTGAGCAAGGGTGATGGGCATAGGTGCAATCAGGCCCGATGGAGGCAAGATGGAAGCAGTGGAGGTGAGGGAAGGAAGAAGAGGAGGAAGTGTGGGGCTAGTCCTGCGGGCAATATCTTGATTAAAGGGAGAGAAAGAGGAAGAAAAGTAAGACAGGGCAAGGCCAAGCTAAAGGTAGCATAAAGGGAAGGCAGTGGTTGGAGGCAGTGGAAGGACTAGATGAGAGACAGCAGGAGAGAAGGTGGCATGGCTAAGGGGTGGAAAGAGTATAAATGGTGACAGCAGGTCACAGGTGGAAGCACATCCCTAAGGAGAACTGATGATAAAAAACGGGGAACTGGCAGACATTAGGAAGCTTTGAGATGCATGAGCCAAAGAGAAGAGACAGGGTGACTTCCTGGGATGAAAGGAAAATATGCAAGCTTGAGGAAAGGTCATGGGAATGATGTCCATTTGGGGCTTTGATGCCCTGCCAGTGAAGGGTCACCGCTCAGAGACAGATGAGGTGATGCGAGGCATTCAGGGAGGATGGAGCGTGGACCACAGTGGACTGAAGATAGGCTAGACTCCAAATGGGGGACCAAGGAGAAGAGAAAGGTGGCAGAGTAGGCATCTGGCAGATCTCAGAGGAGAGAACCAGAGGAAAGTTCAAACTTCTGGGCCAAACATTGTGAGCAGTGACATAGTAACAAGGATAGCAGGGGCAGGGAACAGTGGAAGCTCATAAAGCCTTGTAAGTTGGGACAAAGGTAAACTTTTTGGCCAGGCTCTATACTACTTAATCCGGATCCGGCGGGATTGGGGTGGGAGGAGGGGA